ACAAGCAATCAAATAAATGCAAAGGAAATCAAGAAGCTCTCTTTTACACCTAGTAGACTGTCAAAAAGCAGAAAGCTAGATAATGCCAAGTGGGGACGGGGATGCAGGGACAGTCGTTCTGGAGGGCAGCATGTTCCCTCCTCAAATCAAAGCGGCCTGTGACCCAGCAGTTCTGCTGCTGGGTGTCATCTTAAAGAGGAGGAGGTGCGTGAGGATGTCCACTATAGCAGTATTTACAGTGGCAGCCAGAGCTGGAGACAGCCTGGGTGTCCACCCCTTGAAGAGAGTGACCACGGGGGCACACACCAGGGAACCCTGTCCAGCTGCCAGCGGGGGCGGGCTACACCGCACAGAGAAACACAGGGGGGCGTTGCACACAGTGCTTGCAGTGGTGAGTTATTAGTCACTGGAAAAAATAGAAATTCGGGAGTCCATCCCTGTAACAAATAAATAAATGCAGACATTCATGACGAGGGAGAAGATGTCTTCTCTTGCCCATAGGATGCAGAGTGAAGCCTGGCAGATGGAATGAACGCTGAAGCTGGAAAATCAGGTTGGTAAAGACTGGGTCAGACAACGGTCATCAATGGACACTGAATCTATGGGAAATCTGTGATGAGGAACAGAGTATTTGCATGTTCTTAACATCTGCCCCACAGATTGCTTGTTGGCGGCACAAAGACAGAGGACGTGGTAACTGTGCAGAGGGGAAGTGGACACAACAGTGGCTGAGTGAGCCAAGGGAGGGGCAATGGACATGTCACCTCCAGATGCCCCTTAGAAGGAGGACACATCACCTCTGCAATAGTCCATCTGAGAACAAATAATCTCAACTTAATCGTGAGACCAAACAAGCCCCAAATGAAAACGTTCTATTAAGGGGCAGGGGCTATGTTGTTCACAAATGGCAATGTCATAAAAAACAAAAGAAGACTGTGGGAATGTTCCAGATTCAAGAAAGATAAAGAGATGTGACAAGTAAAGAAAATACCTGATCCTAGGCTGGCTACCATAATGGAGAGAGATGCTACAAAGGACATTATTGTATCACTTGAGATAATTGGAATATGAACAGAATATGAGATGAAAGAATGATATAATGTGGAAATGATGAGGTGATAACATCTATGGTTAAAGTGGAGAACATGCTTATCCTTAGGAGATATACTCCAAAGTATTTAGGGGTGAAGAGCCAGGATGTATGTAACTTACCCTCAAATGGTTCAGGAAAAAAATTGTGTGTGTGTGTGTGTGTGTGTGTGTGAGAGAGAGAGAGAGAGAGAGAGAGAGAGAGAGTATATGAGGTAAAACATTAATAGGTGAACCTAGATAAAGGTTCTAGGAGTGTTCTTTGTACTGTTTTTATTCTTGCAAATTTTTAGTTAGTTTGAAATCACTAACAAGTAATTTTTTTTAAAGTTTTAAATGAACTCTTAGTCAGACAAGTAAATGAAACACGAATCTTATTAGTATAATGCCCTTTGTACAAATTAAAAATATAAACCTGCAAAACAAAACACATTTGGCAAGGACTTAAAGAACAAAAATAGCAGGTGGGCAAGGTGAGTAAAAGGGAGTCCACGCGTCAGCCCATCCGCAGAAGGTGGGCCTCCACAGGGCCCCTGAGGGTGCCATGCATTGTGTGGTTTTAGGGGAAGGTTTCACTTCATTTTATGCACCTGGCCCACCCCAGTTTCCCAGTGATTTTCCTTCCACACCAGTTCCTGGAGCTTCCCCGTGGCCACCTCCCAGGAGTGTGCTCAGTGTGGGGCTGAAGATTTGCCCAGACAGGGGAAGCTGCCAGCCAGACACCCCAGGCAGGCCTGGCTCTTTGGAGGTTCCTGTCCTCACCCTGCACTGTCCCCTCCCCCGATATACAGTTCTCCTGACACCAAGCCCCGCCCACAGAATGCCCTCTGCACAGCAGATTTCTGTGGCAAATTCTATCCAACGTTATTCTAGCAAATACACTGAGCCAGCCCCCGTGCTGAACACTGGGATACAGGACTGAGTGGGGAGCAGTCCCTGCCCTGAGACAGCACGGTGGTCGGCGAGCGGCAGAGCTGGCCTGTCGCAGCCCAGAGAGAGAGAATGAGGTCCGAGCTCTTATAGGATGTCAGGGAAGGGAAGGGCCACTAACTGGGGTCAGAGCTTCCTGGTAAAGAATACAAGAGGGTTGCCCTGGCCAGGGTGGCTCAGTTGGCTGGAAAGTCATTCCATAACCAAAAGATTGCGGGATTTGATGCCCGGTCCCCACCCATGTGATCCATGGTCCAGGCGCATACAGGAGGCAACCCATTGATGTTTCTCTCTCTCCTTTCTTCTCTCACTAAAAGCAATGAAAAGAAAAAATGTCCTCAGTGAGGATTAAAAGAAAAAAAAATACAAGAGGGTTAGGCTGTGAACTGTGGGTAAGAGTTCATGAACCCACAAAGGGCAGGGCAGGGGTGTGTGGAAGGACAGCGAGGGAAAGGCGTTCTGGTGTCCTTGACCGGGCAGGTGCTGGAGATGCTGGGCGCACTGCAACAGGCAACTTTCACAGACCTCAGGACTGAGTGCGGTGTCGCAGACGCAGTAAGACCAGAACGCAGGGAGCCAGACTCTGTATGTATTTTCTCTGTCACCCCACCTGACGTCACCTGAGCCCCAGCCACCATCAAAAAAGGACCTGACCCTGACGGCAACATTTCAGCCCTTCCTGTCATCCTGCTGAGGCTCCTGAGGTGGAGAGAGAAGAGAGGGGAAAAAATTTTAATAACAATGATGATGACAACTCCATAAAAATAATAGTGTTGGTGTGGCTCAGTTGTTTGGAGTGTCGGCCCGTAACCAAGGGGTTGCAGGTTCAATTCCCAGTCAGGGCATATACCTAGGTTGTGGGTTCCATCCCCAGTCCAGGCTCCTATGGGAGGCAACTGTTCGGTGCTTCTCTCTCAAATTGATGTTTCTCTCTCTCCCTTCCTCTCTCCTTTTCTCTTTCTCTAAAAGAAATGAAAAAGATGTCCTTGGGTAAGGATAAATAATAATAATATTAGTCTCTATATCAGGCTTACTACGTGTCAGGCACCATTCTAACACTTTCCGTGGACAATAATGCCCACTTGTGTTTCCTTGCCATTTTTCAGACACGCTCCTACCAGAGGGCCTTTGCATGTGCTGTCCCCTCTGCCTGAACTACTTTCTACCCACATAGTTTGATCCCTTCCTGAGAGTGTTTAAGTATATCGCCTTCTCACTGAGGTCTTCCCTAACCACTCAGTTAGAGCTGAAAAACCTCCCAGCACTGCCCATGCCCCTTCTCTGCTTCAGTTTTCTTCTCACCACTCATCGCCTTCTAAAATGCTTTCATTTGCCTGTGTCTTGTTCATTATCTGCTTCCATCGCTAGAATGTCAACTGCACTGAGGCAGGGGTTTGTATCTGTTGTGTTCACTGCCGTATCAATCCCGAAGCCTAGAGCAGGTATCCTGCTCATCGTCAGTACTCCGTAAACATTTGTTAAATAAAATGAAATCCAATGAGGTAAAAGCTATCATAAATAGTTCCTACTTTACAGAGGAGGAAATCGGCACAGAAGGATTAAGGTATTTGCCCCAGGACACACAGTCAGTGAATGACAGCACCAGGATTACATCCCCCCGTATCTGTGACAGAAAGGACTGTTGTTCTTGTGAACCCAACATTCCACCCCCATTATCCCTTCCCACAAGGTTCAGCGGGGCCAACTCCACCCCCAGCTCCAAGAATGGGCATATGACTCAAGAAGGCCAATGACAGCACCACATTCCCTTGGGCCTCAGTAATTGGTTCAGGGATCAACATGTGACCTAATCCAAGCCAATGGGAACCTTCTGCAGGAGAGGAAATAACATGAGGTCTGGAATATACTTTCAAATACTACAATGCTAAAAAAAGAAAAGAAAAGAAAAGTGGGGAGGAGAATAGGTGAAATGAGACAAGAGAAAGATGATGGTGGTTGGCCTGGACAATGGGCACATGAAATGTGTTATACTAATCGCTCAGCTAGTGTGCATATCGAAGCATTTCCACCAAAAAGAGATTTTAAAAATTATAGCCTCCAATTATATAAAATTTTAGAAAACGCAAACTAATCTCTAGTGACAGAAAGCAGATCAGTCGTATTCTAGCATAGGATAGAGGCTGGAAGAAATTACAGAAGTTTCTGAGGAAACTTTGGAAGGTGATGGATATGTTCTTCATTATCTTCATTTTGGTGATGGCTTCCCAGATGCATTCATATGTCAAAACTCAAGTACTGTTCCTTCAATATCACGCCTCATCAGTAAAGTTGAAAACAAATGTAAAAAATAGATTTACAACAGATGAAGTATTAGATCAGTAGCCACTTAAAAATAAAATATATTTTTAAAAATCAGTAGCAGCTTGCAAATACTCATGTACTAAGTAGCTTTGAAATTCAATGCCGGTGGTAAATAAATTGCTGTGCATGTGCTTCAGTACCTTCAAACGATGTTAGCATTAGCACTTCTGCGATGCTGGATTCCACGTCATGTACCTGTACTGTCCGACACCGTAGCCACATGTCGCTACAGAGCACTTGAAATGTGGATGGTGTGATTCATAACTGAGTTTTTAATGTATTTAATATTAATTAATTTAATTTTAAATTGAAAAGCCACATTCTGTTATTGGATAGCTCAGCTTTACAACTAAAAGCTTAAAAAATAAATCTAAAGCTGTTTTGAAAATAAATTTATAGCTGACATACACAGCCCTACTCTGAGCTCTGCACAATTTAGCATCTTATATAAGGCGCATCACAGAAGCGTTTCAACACCTCCATTTTACAGACGAGAAAGCTGAGGCTCAAAAGTGTGTAGATGATTGTCCTGACTATAACAGTGAGTACTGGACAAGCTAGGATTGGGCCTGGGGTGTCTTTCCCCTGCCCCTGCCCATCTGCTCACCCACAGACGAGCCTCCAGCCTCCCTCCTCACCTCCAGCTCGCCAGTTGCCTGCTACATTTTCCTGATCCCTTCATTGATAATGTTCACAATTTTCTGCAGTTTGGCCTCATCCACAAAGCCATCACCTTTCTGGACACAGAAGGGAAAGAGCACAGGCATGTGAGTGTCCTAAGATCCAGGGCCCTGGCACCACCTTCCTGCCCTGTCTGGAACCCTTATTCAAAATCACCTTCTTTGAATGAACCAGTTTTCCATCCACAAACACTTCAAATTCCCCAGTACCCTGTGTGGATATGTCCTCCTCCTGGGAAGGAAATGTTGGGGGTGAGGGAAAGCTAAGAGCTCTCTTTCAAGCCCCTCCGTGGCTCTCGGACCGCTGAGTACCCGTCACTCCCCCGGCCCCCAACACACTCACAAAGAGTAGACGATTTGGAAATTGCTGCTCCAGACTCTTTTTCAGTAGAACGTACTAGGGGGAGATGAAATCATGTGGTCACAGGGTCATGGGGTCACAGGTCATGGGTCTTGCAGGGAATGGAGACAGAGGAAACAGAAACTCTGTCCAAATTTCATATCCCATGCTCTTCCCACCACCAAAGCCAAAACTACTCACCCGGAGGTTATAGCTTCAGAGGCCACTGGAGGCCAAGGACGAGAGGAGGGAGGCAGAGAGAGACAGAAGACACCACATTAGTACCTCCCCAAGCCCAGAGGGACCCTGTGAACACCTGAATCAGATCGCATCCTTGCCCTGCTTAGAGCCCTCCCATAGTGCCATGGTGCTCAGGGCAGAAAACCACAGCCCTCCCCATGATCCACAAGCCCCCAGAGGGCTGCTCCTGTGCCTCCCTGCCCCATCTCCTCCCACTCCCCCCATGGCCCACTCCACTCCAGCCGCTGGGGCCTCCTTGCCTTCCTTCTAATGCCCTGGTGTGCCTTGCTCAGAGCCTTTGCACTGGCTCCTTCCTCTGCAGAATGCCGTTTCTCTGGTATCTACGTGGCTCCTTCTCTCCCCTCCTTCAGGTCTTCGTTCAGCTGTCACTTTCTCAGTGATGGCTCCCTGATCACCCCAGTTAAAACCGTGATCCCGCCAAGATGTCTTTTGTTCATAGCACTGATCACTTTCTAAGATACTAGATAATTTACTGTGTCATACGTATTCCACACCAAAATGTCAGTACCACAAGGATAATAATCTCTGTCTTATTCCCTGCTGTGTCCTGTGCAGGTCTGGCACATGGGAGGTGTTTAATAAGTGGTTGTTGAATGAATGAAATAAAGAATCCATGGAGTCAGAGAAAGAGATAGAAAGGAGGAGATGGTGGTGGGTGCAGGAGGGGTGGAAATGAGGAAACAGGGAGACAGAGAGACACATACAACATGGGGGAAGGAGAAGAGACAATGAATTGTAGGCAGAGACATAAGAGAGAGAAAGTGGGAGCCATAAGGGGAGAAAACCACCTAGAGCAGGAGAGATGCATGGGATCGGAGGGAAGATACAGCCCCTCCCTCAGGGACACTCAGTCCCTTGTCTCAGAGAGGTCAAGGAAAGTCGTTTCTGCTACCGTTGCCCTTGACACAGAGAGACACTCGAAATCTGGGGCCAGCCTTCAGCTGGCAGACTCGAGAAGATCCATCTCAAGTGCCACCTCCCAGGAAAGACTGTCTCTAACTACCCACTGTTAAGCTTCCCTGCCCCTTGTCCCCCCTCAGGGCACTCTGTCTTGGGGTCTGCCTTGTCCAGCCTCCCCCGAGGAGGAAAGCAGCTGGCTTTGCTGAGCACTTCCTCCCCAGCTCAGGCCTGGCCCATGGAGGGCAGAATACTCTGTAATAAGGGGAGGGAGGAATTTGAGTCAGTGAAGGAAGCTTGGAGCCAGGACTCAATTCTGACACCAGAGCAGAAATTTGAGCCCAGAGCTCTCCATCCCCAAAGGGATGATAGGGAGAGCCAAGTTTCCCACCTGAGAATTGGGACTTCCTCCCTTCACCCTACCTTCAAATCCCCAAAGCCCCAGCACCTACCCTTCCTGCCCTTTCCCCATGGGGAGGAAGGCACGTGTGAATGGAGACAGCCCCTCACCAGTAGATCACTTTAATTACGATCTTGTTGTCCACTTGAAAGTTCTTGCTGGTGGAGGCGAATGTGTTGGCAGAAATAGGTAAGGAGGTGGCCAAGGGGACGGTCCCCAGTATGGGCTTGGGGATAGGTCCAGCCGTGGAATCTGTCAGCTTGGTGGTCACTGGATCCGCGCTTGGGGTGGATCCGAGAGTGGGCCCCAGTAAATCAGTGGCCGATGGAGTGAGCTCAAGATCGGGCCCTTGCGTGGTCCTTAATCCACTGGCGACTGATGGGACAAGCTTCACATCCGGCGTTGGCTCAGGGGCCTTACCAGGCCACAAAGTGGGATCTGGTGCAGGTTCTTGGGGTGGACCCAAAGGTAGGGCGGAGCTCGGGAACGACTCCAAGTCAGAGACCGCTGCAGGGACCCGGACCGGAACTGGGACCGGGACCGGGATCGGGACCGGGACAGGGGATGAAGTTGGTGTTGAGGTCGGGACCGCAGTCGGGGCTCCGACCCGGGTCACGGTCTGGAGTGGAATCGGGGTCCGGGCCGGGGACGGGGTCCGGATCAGAGTCGGAGTTCGGGCCACAGTCGAGGCCGGGACCGGCGTCCGGAACCGGACCGGAGCCAAGGCCGGGACTGGAGTCGGTGACCGGACCGGGATTGAGGGCCTGACCGGAGTCGGGGACCGGATCGGGATGGGGGGCCTGGCCGGAGTCAGGGACCGGGCCGGGATTGAGGGCCTGGCCGGTGTCGGAGCCCGGACCGAGGCGGAGGTCCGGGCCGGAAAGGGAGCTGAGGCCCGCCCCTGGTTGTTCATGGGGGACCGGGGAACCCCGGGGAAACCCGGGCTGGGATATCAGCCTCCCTCCTTCCTCGGGCGGAGAGCCTCGCCGGCACCAGCGTTCTAAATGTGACGCGACCACAAAGGGGCACTGTTATACCGAGTTCCACTGGCCGCAGGGTTCTGTTGCTCTGGGCCAGGGATGCGGCAGGACCTTTTCACCTAATGATTCCCGTCACCTTAACCCCCACCACGATGTTAAGGAACGCGCAGATTGACCCAGGGTTCCCTCATTGTCGTTGACATTCATGTGTTTGGTATATGTTTATTGAGTGCCTGTCATGTGCACGGTCCCGCGCTGGGTGATTCTGGAGACAGAGTAGTGATCAGGAAAGCCCTGGCTCCCTGTCCAGCGGGGGAGACGTACCCATGGCTGAACAATGACAGCCTACTGTGGTCAGGACTGAGGTGGGGAAGGCACAGGCAGAGAGGGTTCAGAGGTATGGTGAGGGAAACACTAGGACCCGTGGGATCCCAGAAGAGGTGCTAGAACCAGTCCGGGGCAGAGAGGGCCCCCTAGAAGAGGGGACAACTGAGAAACCTGTAGAAAAATAATAACAACAGGAGATTTTACATTTATATAGTGCTAAGTGCTACACGCATGTCCACAGCTAGCAAGCGGCAGAGCCAGGATTCAAAGGGCAGCTGCTGGCCTCCAGAGCCCCAGGGCAGAGGAAGAGCTCATCGCACTGTGAGCTTCTCCCCGGGTGGGATCTTTATCTTGTTCTCTGCTAAATTCCCAGCTCCTAGAATGAGGGTGAGCACAGAGTAGGTGCCGAATAAATATTTGGTTTTTTATTTTAAACTAGTTTAACTTAACACTTATAAGAAGTGGGAAAAGCCCTGGCCGGTGTGGTTCAGTTGGTTAGAGCATCCTCCCTTAGACCAAAAGGTTTTAATTCCAGGTCAGGGTACAGACCCGGGTGGCAGGTTCAATCCCCTGTCGGGGCAAGTAGAATCCCCCCAACCACTGATGTTTCTCTTTCACATTACATCAATGTGTGTGTGTGTGTGTGTGTGTGTGTGTCCCTCCTTCCCTCCCTTTCTCTCTCTAGAAACAATGAAAAAATGTCCTCAGGTGAGGATAAAAAACATTTTTTTTTAACAAGTGGGAAAAATAACAGAGGATTCCTGTGTAACTTTCACATATAAATAAGTATTAACATCTTATGTACCACAGGATGTAAAACCAGGATGCTGAGATTGGTCCCACATTATAAAGTACAGCAGACCTTATTCAGGTTCATGGCATGGTTTCAACCCAAGGAATCCTGACCCACTGTGCTTCCCAGTCCTTGAGCCCTTCCTGTGTTAAACCCTGGACCAAGAAAGACAGCCAATTTTCTATGGATGCCAAGCAAGTCTCTACCCCTCTCTGGACTCCAGTTTTCCCTTCTGTGAAGTGGGCTTTCCTCTTACAGATATTATTGAAAACTAACATTTACTGAGCACCTATTATAAGATGCAAATGCCAGCCTTTTATAAAATTCTTTGCACTTATTATTTAATTCTCACAACTTTCTGATGCAGATTCTACTATCATTCTCATTTTCCCAGTAAGGGCATTAGGGCACGGAGGAGTGAAATGGCTTGTTCGAATAAGTGGTGTAACCAAGATCTGAACCCAGGCAGTCTGATTCCTGTGCATTTGTAGGCTTCTTATTTTACATTTTTTTTTGAGTGATCACTTACATCACTTTATATGCTACTGCCATTGTGCTAAATGCAATACATTTTAGCCTGAAAGATTTAAATCTTGGCCAAAAGAGAAAAAAAAAGTTACAAGTTGCCCCTTGGCATGGAATGCCTTCTACTGTAGTCCGTTGGAGCTCTGCTTCCTTTGCCCTGTAAAGTGAATAATTTGGACCAGAATAACTTTTCCCTCCCTGTGAGCTCTAACAATAGGAGACGATCTTCCTTGTTCCAGAAACTGATACTTTGGGCTAAGTCCGCAGCAGCCTGTGAGGCAAAGCCATAGAGCAGAGCCTACTGACTTGGGTTCTTCCCTTATGATGGTGAATCAGAGAACTTCAGTCATCCCTCTTTGATAATCCAGCCAGCTCTGTTCCTGTGGTGACTAACGGATGTGTATGGTGACGGTGCCAAGACTCTGCCAGAGATGAGACATCCGTTAGACCAGGAAGTATATATCAAAGGGGGAATCCATAGGACTCAACTGCCTGCCTTCAATTTACAAGCAGCGATTGAGAAAAAGAAAATAAACATGATGAGTTCTTCCATCCAAGATGAGAAGAAAGCACAGCTTTCCAGCTTTGCTTTTAAATTGAGTTTTGCTCTCAGAAGGCCGCACCATTTATAACAAGCAGCAAATACTCTTTGCCTCTGAATTTTCAGAGTTGTCTTAGAAGGAATCACGGGCTTGTGTTGATGTCTGTTTTTTATCTCAATTTAAATATTATTTTATAATAGGTTTTTGTTTTGATGTCCATTTGTTCTTTAATAATGAGTCATTCCTCAGGACACAGAAATTCAGTATAGTGAAACCTGAAATAAGAAATTATAGGTACTTATACAATATACAGTATCTGTTGACTGAATTAAAGGAATAAGTGTATCTCCTGATTGATGTTCTAATAAAAGGACTCCTCCATTTGCTGCTATATCCCATGTGTTATTTTTCTCTGTTCTTTCTTCTTCAGTTCCTATGACTTTGCTCATTTCTAAAAGTCTCCAAGCCTACAACCTGCTAGACAATATGGAGAAGGAGGATTGGCAGAAATTGGCTGATGTAGGCTTGTTACTTTTCAGCATAGTGGTAGTATTAAACATGTAACTGTCTTAGGATAATCCCAAAATTCAGGGAGATTTCCCTTTCGGCTGGAGCTTACTTAGACTTGTTCCATCTCATTTGGAAGGAAAGTTGAGGACCCGGAGGGGCAGAAACAAGTCAAAATGTTTGCACTTTCCTTTTATTCCACATCCAAAACAATGCCATCAACATTTAATCAATGGCGGTACCAAGAAATAGATGGATTCTTCATATGAATGACATCCATGATCCATCTTGTTTTTGTTCTGTTTCTTGCTCTTTTTTTTTCCAGTAATTTGATGTCAAGTGAAGGGGGTGTCTGTATCCAATAGCCTGGATGGTTTATCTTCCAAAGAAGGCAGGCACTCCAGTGTTGGAGACTAATTGCAAAAGTCACCCCAGTTCCCTACCCTCCCCTGACCCGTGCCCTCAGAATGTAACTCTGTACCTTTCCTCATCAAGAGGTGGAGTCTGTTTCCCCACTCCCTGAACCTGGGCTGGCCTTGTGACTTGCTTTAGCCAATAGGGTGAGGAGAAAGTGACAAGTTCAATGGGGTCTACTCTGCCTAGGATCCTGGGTCGGCCATGAGAATAAGCCAGGGCCAGCCTGCTGGAGGATGATAGGGAAGGTGGAACAGAGCAGTGCAGCGCAGCACAGCACAACCAGTCCCCAGCCCACCCCTGAGCTTACTACACACACATTTGTGATTCTCCCAGATCAGCACACACAGCACAGCCCAGAACAACTGAACCCCAGCCAACCTGTACCTTGGGCACCAAAAATAAATATTTAGTGTTTTATGCCACTGAGCTTATGCAGCATTATCATGGAACACAAACGCAGACAACTGCATAAATCAATGTATATAATAGGACTTCCAGTCAAGATGGAGGCATAGGTAAACACACCTCACCTTCTTGCACAACTAGAGCAAAAATTACAACTAGACTACAAAACAAATATCACAGAGATTCATTAGAAGTTGAGCTACATGAAAGTCCAACAACCAAGCATTTAAAGATGCCACATTCATCCAGATGGGTAGGAGGGGCAGAGACACGTGGAGAGCTGTGGAGAGGCATGGAGATGTGGAACAGGTGGTCCTCTATTCATGTGTGGTGGATAAAAATGAGGAGGGATACCTCAGGAGCGAGGAATCCCAGTCCCAGACCAGACCACACAGCCCAGAGTTGCAGCACGTGTAACTTCTGGCTTTAAAAGTCACTAGGGGGTGGGGCTGCAGAAGAAACTGCAGGATACTCAGGAAATTCCTCTTAAAGGCCCCGCAGTGGACCTGGGACTTACACAGAGTCACTCCCTCTCAGATTCAGCACCAGGGCTACAGCTGGAAGGGCACAAGTGGTACACAGGGAGAAATTGCAATGACTGGCAACAGGGCAAGTGCTGGGAAAGAGCTTTCTCCTGGAAAAAACTCCAGAGGCCAGGCAGTGGCACTGTCACCTCACCGAGCCCTCCCACTCACACAGAACCACAGAGCGGTGACATGAGTTGCCCCACCCTGGCGATTACCTAAGGCGCTGCCCCATACAACTTACAGGTGCGCTTTTCTACAATAGACCAGGCAGTCAGAGCAGCTCTACTTAATACACAGAAACAAAGACAAAGAGGCTATTGAGGAGACAAAGAAATATGGCCCAAATGAAAGAACAGAACTCCAGAAAAAGAACTAAAGAAATGCAGATAAGCAACTTATCAGATGCAGAGTTCAAAGCACTGTTTATCAGGATGCTCAGGGAACTCACTGGATACTGCAACAGCATAAAAAAGACCCAGGCAGAACTCAAGGTTACATTAAGTGAAATAAAAGTCTGCAGGGAACCAACAGTGGAGGGGATGAAGCTGGGACTCAAATCAATGATTTGGAGCATAAGGAAGAAAAAAAACATTCAATCAGGACAGCAAGAAGAAAAAAAGAATTTTAAAACAATGAGGATAGGGTAAGGAGCCTCTGGGACATCTTAAAATGTACTAACATCAGAATCACAGGGGTGCCGGAAGGAGAAGAGCAAGAGCAAGAAATTGAAAACTTATTTGAAAAAAAAATGAAAGAAAGCTTCCTTAATTTGACAAAGGAAATAGACATACAAGTCTGGGAAGCACAGAGAGTCCCAAACAAGATGCACCCAAGGAGGACCACACCAAGACACATCAAAATTAAAATGCCAAAAAAAAAAAGAAAAGAAAAGTCTGAACCACAGCTTGCAGGTAACATTTGAAGACACAGGGCTTGGTGAGATCACCTTGGGAGTGTGGGTAGAGGAGAGTCTGAGGGGTAAATCCTGGGACTTTCCAGTGTGGAACATTAGGAGGCAAAGCCAAAAAAGAGATCAAGATGGAGAAAATTTGGGAATGAGGAAAAGCAGTAGGCTGATGTTCTTGAAGCATAGTTAAAGAAGTATATAAAAAGGAGGGAGTGACAAAATGAGTCCAACCTTTCTGAGCAGTAGACTCACAAGATGTGGCAAGACAGAGGTGGTGGTTGGTGGTGGGAAAAGCAAACAAAAATAATTAAAATGCCAAAGGTTAAAGATAAAGAGAGAATCTGAAAAACAGCAAGGGAAAAGCAGAGAGTTACCTACAAAAGAGTTCCCATAAAACTATCAGCTGATTTCTCAGAGGAAACTTTGCAGGCAAGAAGTGTTCAAAGTGGTGAAAAGCAAAGACCTACCACCTAAATTACTCTATCCAGCAAAGCTATTATCCAGAATTGAAGGGCAGGTGTTTCCCAGAAAAGATAAAACTAAATGAGTTCATCATTACAAAGCTATTATTATATGAAATGTTAAAGGAAATTATATAAGAAAATGAAGATCAAAACTAGGAACATTAAAATGGCAATAAATTCACAACTATCAATAATTCAATCTAAAAAAACATAAACAGGGCCCAGACACATATGAAAGGATGCTCAGCATCACTAGCCATCAGAGAAATGCAAATTAAAATCACAGTGAGATACCACTTCACACCAGTCAGAATGGCCATCACAAACAGATCAGCAAACAACAGGTGTTGTGGAGAAAAGGGAACCCTAAGTACTGTTGGTGGGGATGCAGACTGGTGCAGCCAACTGTGGAAAACAGTTTGGACTTTCTTCAAAAAGCGAAAAATGGAACTGCCTTTTCACCCAACAATTCCACTGCTGGTATTATACCCTAAGAATCCCAAAACACCAATTCAAAAGAACCTGTGCACCCCAGTGTTCATAGCAGCACAATCTACAATAGCCAAGTGCTGGAAGCAACCTAAGTGCCCATCAGTAAATGAGTGGATCAAAAAACTATGGTACATTTACACAATGGAATACTACACACCAGAAAGAAAGAAAGAGCTCCTACCCTTTTCAACAGCATGGATGGAACTGGAGAGCATTATGCTAAGTGAAATAAGCCAGGGGGTGAAAGACAAATACCATATGATCTCACCTATAAGTGGAACCTAATCAACAAAACAAGCAAGCAAGGAAAATATAACCAGCAACATTGAAAGAAAAAAGAAACTGACGGTAATGAGAGGGAAGGAGGGAGGGGGGGCAATGGGGGAAAGAAGGGGGAAGGGTCAAGTCAAGGAACATGTATAAAGGACCCACAGACAAAGCCAAAGTGGGGAAGGACTGAGGGAGCAAGGTGGGAGTGGGTGGGGCAGGAGAGAGGGGCGGCAGGAAAATGGAGACAAATGTATTTGAACAATAAATTTTTTTTTAAATAATAAAGTAAAATGAAAAACAAACTAAGTGAATAAGCAGAACAGAAACAGAATCATAGATATGGAGATCATGGAAGTTTATCAGTTGGGAAGGGGAAGGGGAGAACGGGGAGGAAAGGCGCAGTGATTAAGTATAAATTGGTAGGTACAAAATACACAGGGGGATGCTAAGAAGACTACAGGAAATGGATTAGCCAAATAACTTTCATGCATGACCCATGGACATGAACTAAGGGGCGGGATATTGATGGAGGGAATGGGGGTACTGGGTTGAGAGGGGCAAAGGGGGAAAAACTGGGACAACTATAATAGCATAATCAATAAAATAAATTAAAAAATAAACTTATATAACAACATAAGGTGATACTGTAAGGCAAATATCCCTGCAACCACCACCCATCTCATAACCTCTCCGCACACCCCTCCCAAACGATCCCCAGTCCCCTACCATATCACCATTACGATGGGACCCTGGCCGGGTGGCTCAGTAGGTTAACACATCGTCCCAATACGCCAAGGTTGCAGGTTTGATCGCTGGTCAGGGAACGTACAAGAAGCAACCAATGAATGCGTAAATCAGCGGAACAACAAATCAATGTTTCTCTCTTTCTCTTTCTCCCTTCCTCTCTCTAAAATAAATAATAAGACATTATGCTGACTTTTATGATGATCACATCATTGTTTCTTTTATAGATTTTATCTTTTCAGTCTCTTTTCATTTATGTTTACCCTTCATTCCTTTTCCTCCTTTGATAATTATTTGCTTTTTTATAAAACAACTTTATTGAGGTATAATTTACAGACCATAAAATTCACCTGTTTTAAGTGTATAGCTCAAAGATTTTTAGTAAATTAGCCAAGTTGTGCACCATCACCAGAGTCATTTTTAGAATATTTCTTTCATCCCAGTAAGAGGCCTCCTGCCCATTTGCAGTTAATCTCCAGTCCCCCTCCCAGACCCAGGCCACCACTACTCTGCTTTCTGTCCCTATAGATTTGCTTCTTCTGCACATTTACTATAAACAGAATCATATGTGACTAGCATCTTTCATTTTAGCATGTTTTTATGGTTCATCCATGTGGTAGCATGTACCCTACTTTATTCCTTTTTATGGCTGACTGATATTCCGCTGTAGAGATAGACTGCATTCTGTTTATCCATTCACCAGCCGATGGACACTTGGGTTGTTTCCAGATTTTGGCTATTCTGAATAATGCTTCTGTATGCAAGTTTTTATAGATATGTATTTTTTCTCTTGGGTAGACACCTAAAAGTAGAGAAGCTGAGCCATATGGTAATTCTACGTGTTTTTTTTTTTAACCACCAAACTGTTTTCCAAAGGAGCTTCACCATTTTACATTCCACCAGTAGGGTATGACAGTCCCCATTTTTCCACATCCTTGTCAACACTTGTGTTTGTCTGTCATAGTGATTAGTCATTCTAGTACATGGGAGGTGAAGTGCTAATCAGTTCTTGCAGAAGCCAGCCATGTGTCCCATAGAACACCCAGTCTGGGTTTTGCTCACCCTCAATGTCTGACATACCCTCATACCCCTCACACCCCCTGAATTTCCTATAAATTGATATTCAGTTGAACTATATCAAATTGCCAGTATCCAAAATTTTTAATCTGAGCAGATCTTAGAGCACCTCCCTTAGGGACAACAGAAGGTATCAGTCTGCTATTCTATCTGCTACCAGTGAGAAAGAAAAAGTTGTCACCTGGTGATGTCACAGGTTTTCCAACACCACAATATATACATACATGGGAAAACTTTTTAAATAGAATAAAGGTGTGCAACAGAGAAAAGGCAGTCTCCCTGGGAATTCTTGTACATCACAGTGGGAGTGTGGCCTGACAAAGCAGTCTGTCAATACTTGGTGAAATTGGTAGCTATGCCCTAAAACCAAGCAATTTCTCTACTGGGTATATATCTGTGGCAGACTCTATTCCATTCAAAATATTCACTGTCCCTCCCTCTCAGGGGATTTACTTACTGTCCCATAGATACAAGGCTTAGCCATGTGACTTGCTTCAGCCAATAAAATGTGAGCAGAAGTGTTCAAAGCCTCAGCACATGGTTCACTATGCCCTTTCCCATAGTGCCTGGAAATGTGCCCGACAGAGGCTCTTAGCCTCAGCCCCAGAATGAAAACGACGTGGAGCTGCCCCCACAGCACATACAAAGTACAGAGCCTGACAAGTCAAACCTGATCAAAATAAGAGTCTTTACAAGTGTCTCTGGAGATGGGAAGGAAAAAAAAGTCATAAATAATCATTATGTACTTCCAACAGTAAAATTCTCCCAGCCACCCCTTTCAGCTTGAACTCCAAAGTGTCTGAGGCAGAGATTGGTTGGGCACCATCAAGTAAATAAAAAAATATTCAGGCTGTCTCCAGGTGCTGATGGTCAAGAAGCAGGTCAGGCCTAGAAAGGAAAACACAGGAGGCATTAGAAAGGGGTGCCCCCTCTCCTCTCCCTCTCCTCAGTGAGGGGAAACCAGGGGAGGTCTGCTTGAGGCTCCCCACTCTGACCTCTGGAACCCACTGGTCTTCCAAAGAGACGGTAGCCAGCAGCTCAAAAGGGCGGCAAGGGGACTATTGATAGAATTAAATTGAGTCAGAGCTGAAGAGCGGGTTAGGAACCTTCCAAAGACACTATCCTCCTCATTTTACAGAATAGTAAAGGAAGGCTACAGGCAAAGCAGGGGCTGCCACCGCCCAGCGTGCACAATGTTTGCGGAGGGAATGGAAGAGGGTACCTACCTCCCGAGCATAGACCGAAGGAGCAGGTATGACGTAAATCTCAGGAGCATCTCCATCTTCGGGGCGATTCCAATCTACGGACGAGCTGCGAAAGAAAAAGACTAGGACCCTGGCTCTTTTAAATTCTCAGATCTCGTTTGCCTCACCAACCACGGAGGGGAACCCAAAGCCAACTAGGGGAAGTGTGGAACGACCCAGTCAGAAAAGGGCTGGATCAGGGATAACAGAAGGGACGATCAGGGCCGCCCTCAAGGAATTAGGTCAGTTGCACAACGGAGATCGACACAAGCAGTCCACAGGAACAAGGCAGGCCTCTGCGGCCCAGCGCCTCACCTCGGGCCATCCCCGGAACCCTCCTGCGTCCTCAGGTTGTTGAGTGCGTCCGGGACAGCGTGAACGAACGGCTCTGGAGTCCCCACCAGCAGGGGAGACCCAGTATCTCGGCCAGGGCCACAGCGTCGCAGGTGAACCAGCAAAAGCGCAGCGCCGGCCAAGCCTGCGGCCACCAGCAGCCCCAAAGCCGGTGGCAAAAGGAAGCGCCGTGGGTCACTTTGCCGCAGGCCGGGTGGGACCGCGGGCAATGCGCCTCTGCTGTCCTCGTCTTCCGGGCCATCGTCGTAGGCGTGAACCGAAAACTCGCAGCGCGAGCCCATGTAGCCGGGTGCACAGGCGCAGACGAGGCCAGAGAAGTGGGCGTAGCAGCGGCCGCCGTGGGCGCAGGGCCGTGCGGCACAAGGGTCCGCGCGCTCGCGGCAGTCGCGGCCTCCAAAGCCCAGCGCACAGGAGCAGCGGCGCGAGCCACCGCCCTCCACACACGTGCCGCCGTTGGCGCAGGCGCGCCCAGCGCAGTCATCCAGGTCGTGCTCACAGCGTGGCCCGGCGAAGCCGGCGCGGCAACTACAGCGCAGGGCATGGCCTAGGTCCAGGCAGAGCCCACCTGTGGGATAGTGGCGTCAAGGGCACAGCTGGGTCCCCGCAACCTGCCCAGGCCAGTTCCTCAGCTGTGTAAACCCCTTTTCTCAGGCTCCCCTGTTTGTCTAACTCCAGGGCCAGCCTCTAGGAGTGTGCCTGGTACTTCTTGACCGCTGGTGAAGTCTTGGATCAACTCAGCCTCACCTCGTTGGCTCTTTTTCTCTCAACTTCCACCATACTTAAATAATTAACAGTTCCAGAATGACGGGTCTGAACCACCTGGCCTTTGCCAGTGCCTTGTCCCTTTCCCCTTCCTTCTTTTCTCCCTCTCCAAGGTCAGTCCTCCTCAGGTCTTGGCTCAGATGTCCCCTCCTCCAGAAAGCCCCCTGGAATTCCTCCATCAGTGCCCCTCACAACCCTGACCATTCTGGACTCTAGCCCAGGATGACTGTCTCCCCCTCTGGGCTGGTACCCTCAACGAAGGCAGGACCCAGAGCTGTCCTGGTTACTATTGTGTCCCTAGTACCACTCAACCCAAAATGAACACTCAGTGAGTGTTTTGGTGAGGATTCGCGATGAGAATACACCAAGCCTTTACATTCATATTTAAACTTCTAATACCTAGTTCAGATCAGGTCTCTTCACAACTCAGACACCTCCTGTGGCTCCATCTTTCTTGGGGTAAAACCAAAATCTTCTCTATGGCCCATGAAGTCCCATAAGATCTGTCCTGGTCACCTCCCTGACTCATCTCTCACCACTCTCTCCTCACTCACTGCTTCAACCACACGGCTTCCCTGGGATCCTCAACACACCAAGCAACATTTCTACCTCAGGGTCTTCACAACTTTCAGTTCCCTCTGCCTGGAGCATAATCTTCCCTCAGCCCCCCATGTTGCCCCCCCTCACTACCTTCAGCGAGGTCTTCCCTAACCATTCTACCTAAAATATCAACCTGCCCCTCCACCCCCATTCTGGCTTTATTTTTCTTAGGTTTTATTACCATCTAACCTCCCACGTAGTTTACTTACTTCTCTTGTTTATTCTCTATCTGCCCCGTCACTTCTCTTAGAGCAGGGGTTTTGGTTTCATTCCCTGCTGTATCCCCAGGGCCTAGATCAAAGTCTGGTGTGAGGTAGACACTCAATAAACATTTATGAGTTAGGAATATCACCTCACCCATTTGACAAAAGAATAAACTGAGGCTGGGAAGAAGGGCACTTCTCCAGCCCACAGGGCTTAAAGGAGGCAAAGCCAGGACTTCCAGCTGGGACTTTTTGCACCAAGCCCTGCTCTTGCCTACTGACCATGCAGGGATCCCCACCCGCATCCCTGGCCCTTCTGGTCGCCCCACCTCACCATTCTGGCACGGTTGCAGGCTGCACCGGTCCACCCTCTTCTCACAGTTGGAGCCTTGGAAACCGGGCGGGCAGTGGCAGATGTAAGCAGAGTCGGGGTCTGCACCTCCCACACACAAGCCGCCATTGAAACAAGGTCCATCCGCACACGTCACCCCGCTCACCTCACACTGCAACCCATAAAACCCACGGGGACAGGCACATTCGAAGGACTCAAGTGTCTCCTGGGCAAAGACAAGAGGACTTCAGACTGAGTTCTCCTTGGAGCAAAATCCCACCCCTCTCTTTAGTCTTGACTATGGGAGCCGCTCTTTGTCATATCCCTCCTCCCAGCGTGCAGGGGCCTCACCTGAAAAGTCCTCCCAAGACAAACCCTCCCTCCACTCCATGTTTCTGGGTCTTCCCATCCAGTGTCACAGGAAGGAAGCTCTGGAGGCCCAAAGAGAGCCCATTCCCACCTCTACCCCTTCACCTACCAAATGCTGCCTGCTTAGTCTGCCCTCCCCAATTCTGTCTGCACAGCCAATCCTACTTAGAGCTCCTGGCTCTGAGCCCACCTCTCTGTGGAGCCTTCCCTGGATCTGCCCTTCACAGGCCCCGCCCCTAACCTGAACCCTGAGTGTGCCTCCCTGCCCCCCACTGGCAGTGTCCAGGGCACCCACTCTGGAGTCTATGTTATCCCCGTACACATCAGGCTCACGCCAACAGCCACATCTTTGCTTACCCCAGGCCACTTACCTGGTCTGTCCTCTCCAGTCACCTCCCCTCAGCCTAATCGGACTTCAGAAGCCCTAGCACTGGGCCCATGTCAGCGAGCCCTCTCTGACGGGCCCCAATCCCAAAACCCCATGCCACCTACCTTGAGTCCAGAGTTGTTCTCTGACCCACAGGAAGGACAGTTTCTGGCCCCACAGCAGTCCCACACCACATTCTTATGTGCCACCCACTGGGCCTACTCTCCCCAGTCCCATTTCTAGAACCTCATCCTAGATTCAAGCTAGACCCCTCTAGGAAGCCCACTCCTGACAGCTATCCCCGGCCGCCCCCAGGCTGCTGTCTCATGGAGCCCCAGTCAGGGGGTGGTGGGAACTCCCAGGGTAAAATACTGATCAGGGTGAGGTGCGAAGGGGTGATACTAACACTACAGCTGCCCCCGTTGGCACACGGATTCCCATCACAGGCCCCAGGGCCAGGTACAAGGCATCCAGTGACAGCAGCGGATGGACCCCTGGAGCTCGGACAGGTGCTGGTGGAGACTGGGACTGTGCAGAAGGGCCCAGTCCAGCCCTCCATACATCGACATTCATCAGGCTGCTCACAGAAGCCATGCTCTGGGCTGCAACCAGCTCGACATGCCACTATGGCGGACAGAGAGGTAGAAGGAAGAGGAATATTGATGAGGGCAGCGTTGGAAGGAGAGAAATCAGAGACGTTTCCGAGCACTTTCTGTGCACCAACTTGTTTCTTCCTTATGAGAGACAACCCTCTGGGCTAGATGGTTTTGCAATTCCCAGTTAACAGACAGGGAAACAGGTCCAGATAGGTGGGCTAACTTGCCCAGCTAGAAAGTGAAGGAATGAGGAGCTGAACCCAGGCCACTGGGCTCCAGATAAAGAATGGAGTGGGGACTCACAGGTCTGAGATTGGAGAGGGGAGAATGAGGGAAGGGCATCTGGAGATTGGGGCAAGGGGGGGGGATTCCTGTCCTTTTCAGGGGAGATGGGAGGACCTTGGATTAGGGCAGGTCTGGGAGGATCTGGATGAGCCTAGGAGTCCTAGGAGCTTTGGCGGACTCAGAAACTTGGGAGGCAACCTGAGAGTATCCAGGATGGAGGCCGGAGATCCCAAGCTTTAGAAAGCAGTGGGGTCTGGTATGCATTTGTAGGGGGGTAAGATGAAGGCTCTTTTGGTGGAGTAGGGGAGTTATTCCCAGGGATTTCCATAGCACCTGGGTAGGTGTAGAGAGGGCTCCAGAATTAGAAGAGCTTTGGGAGTCCTAGCATCTGGAAAGGGGAGGAAGGCAGGGTACCAGCCTGGGAAATGGGTGTGGGGTTTCTAGTTGGGACAACAAGAGTGTGGGACAGAGGGAAGAGGGCTGGAGTGCCCAGGTAGGGCTGGAGAGAAGTCTAGCCTCATTTCCCCGTATGTGGGTAGCTGGATCGTGGGAGGGAGCTAGGCTCATGAGTGAAACTAGAGCTGAGCCTGGGGTACATAGCCAGGAGTCAGTGGCATGCCCTAGTTTCATGGAGTGGGGTATCTGGGGTACCTGGGGAAGGTTCTTGAGTCCTCAGTTACCTGAAGAGGGTAACCGGGTTGCAAAATGGGCCCGGGGGCGGTGAGTGGAGCTTAAAAAAGGGTCAGGAACGGGCTGGGCTACTCAGGACTCACGCGGTGCCTCGCACTCGTCCTCAGCGAGAGTACAGGGGCGCAGTCCTGGGCCACACCGCGAGGAGGCGCTGCGCGAGCGGCACAGGCGCGCGCACGTGGCCCCGATGGCCGGTGGCTCGCAGCGCGCTCGGTAAATGAAACGCAGCTCCCAAGAGCCTGCGCGCTGCACGTCCCGAGCCCAAGGGCCCCCAGCCGCCAGGCGGCGCCGGCCAGCCACGCGCGCCAGCAGGCTCCAGGCGGACCCTGCGGGAAGAAGGGAGCGACTCTGGGATGGGCTCCGCCGGATCACGGCCGCACTCAGTCTCGCGATAGAGCCGGAGAGTGCCCGCTCGCACTCTTCCTGGCCCCTGTTAGTGAGGCCAAAATACGCCTTTTCAGCTCTGAGAATGGCAGTTACCCTTTAGCGGGGCGGTGAACTCCCCTACTGCGCTCTGGGACCTTCGATGTTGCAATCCCATCTAGACCTAGAGACCATCATGATTATTACAGTTCTTTAGAAGCCGAAATACCCCCAATGTTTTGCCCCACAATCTTTGTATATTAGTGATAAGATCTCTAACATCCTGTAACATTTGTTATCTTTATATAGCCAAGGGACAATAACATGTCTTTTTGAAGCGATGTCATAATATCCCCAAATTGTGCCTCAGGATCTCTCTAAATCAAAATGATCACAAAGACCCCAATTACTAAATAAATTATTACCTTTATTGCTTGAGGCCTTTGGATCCCAGGAGGGTGGCAGTTTCCCCCTAGCAAGGCTATCACACGCCAATATTGTGCCACGGCTTTCTATATTAAAATGATTACAGAACCCCCACTGTGGGCCTTACATGACACCAAAGTCCCCTCAAATTAAGGATAAGATTACCTCATATCCCTCCCTGAATACTTTGCTCAATATTTTGATAAAACTGCAACATCCCATATGAACACAGTGGGAGAGCTTCACATATAGGAACCAGAAGTAACTCATACCCTCGGTTCTCAGAATCAGATGATGAAACAGAGTAGGACTGTTGCTGTGAGACGCTCACTCTATCCTGTTCTGGTGGTTTCACCTCTAAGATAGTAAGAGCTTCCTCTGCTTTACCTGGTACTGGGACCATAGACTCCTACATCCAGTACCAGGACATTTCTACATCAGCATGCCCTGGAGCTGTCAACACCCAGCACCACTCTCCAGGAGCTGTGAGGACATCATAGTTCTAGAGATCCTGTGAATGCCCACCCTACAAACAGCTCTATGTCACTCTCCTGGACTTCACGTCAGACCTCAGCTCCCAGCTCCCACACTCTACACAGTAATCCTGAGACTAAAAACACTCACCTCCAGTCTGCTCTCCTAACTCCTCTCTCCACGTTTCGATGATGAGAGAGAAGGTGCCCTGGCAGGGCGAGAGGAAAGAATGAAAAACAGTGGTCAGAGCAAGTACTCAATGAGGGCCAGAATTTAGGGGTGATCATTCCAAGCACCAGGCAGGCAAGGGACAGTTCCTAGAGGGGCTGGTTCAGGGAAGGAATGACAATTTTGGCTTTCTTTACTGAGTGCTTACTAAGTGGTAAGGACTATACTCAAGATAACCTGGTTGAGCCCTGGCTGCTTTGGCTCAGTGGATTGAGTGCCGGCCTGTGAACCAAAGGGTAACCCGTTGATTCCCAGTCAGGGCACATGCCTTGGTTTTGGGCCAGGTCCCCAGCAGAGGGCACATGAGTCAACTACACATTGATGTTTCCCTCTTTCTGCCTCCCTCTCCCTCTCTAAAAATAAATAAAATCTTAAACTTGGTTGAATCCCTCCAAAGAGACCCTTGTGGGGTACCATGATGACCCCATTTTACAGATGAGAAAACTGAGGCTAGAAAAGGAAAAGTCACCTGACCAAAAGGACAAGAATCTAGAATTCAAATACAGATCTCTTCACTTCTGTGCTTTTGGGATTGTGGGATGGGAGATAAGATTTTGGAGGTGAAAGAGCCATGAATATGGGTTCCAACTGGAAGATCTGAGAAGGGATATGGTGAGAGTAGATTGCAGGTCCCCAAAACATGGTGTGGGAGACTCCCTAGGTACAGGAGACTTGGAGATAAAGATAAGGATTCCGGAATTTAGGGATCCCCAAGGAATAGAGGTAGGGTTCTGTGAATTTATGATTTTCAGAAGGTGAGTTGGGAGGTTCTCAGAATTTGAGGTCCCAATCATGCAGGGTTGGGACCATAATATTTTGGATAACTAGAGGGCAATTTATCCAAATATTTGGAGTAAGAAATTTTGGGGTCCCCAGTAGGTAGGGCTTATGGGTCTGAGAAAGTGGGGTTCCAAGTGGTAGAGTTACTGGTCTGAGAATTTGGAATGGAGGGACAGGGTTGGGGACTTGGAAGCTGGAGGGCAGAAAGGGGTCAACGTTCAGGTAATGACTCCAGCATGGGGGTGCCCCGGGACCAGGTCTCACCGGCCAGGCGTTCCGGAAGGGTACGCGCATGGGGCCTATGGGCAGAGGCAGGTCAGCCGCTGGAGCCCGCGACTGCTCGGTGTACACCGGTCCGCGCACACTCAGCGCCGCGCCCAGGGCGCACGGAGACTCCGCGGCCTCCTCAGAGACCCCTGGTTTCATACAGACCCTGAAGAAGAGGCGACATGAGGGCCTGGAGCTGCAGGGGGACCTGGGGGCCCCTGGGTCTGGTGCCGGTCGGAAAGATTGGATCTGAAGCTCAAAAATGCCGGCCGGCCGTGCCTGGAGAGGAAGGGGCAAAGGGTGAGGTGATCTCGGGTACCCAGGAGTTCCGTCCGCCCTGGGCCCCCTTCCCAAGACCTCCGGCTCACACCCCCTCCCATCCATTCCTTTCTACTCTGCTCTGACCTGGGGAAGGAAAAAGAGCGCCAGGATCACCGTCCAGGACAGGAGTTGGGGCATCCACGGGCAGACCATGGCCTTTCTTTCGGAGGTCTGAGGAGCAGCATCTGCTGGCTCTGGAGCCTTATATATGAGGGGACGGCTCCGCCCCTTCCAGCAGCCGCGGCTCGAGGGGACTCTTAGGGGAAGAGGTTGAGGGGAAGGGGAGCATGCAGAAGCAACCCTCATAGAAGCAACCATGAGTTTGGGTCGTGGGTACAGGCAATGTAGTGAGAATGTATAATCTTGTATTTGGTTGTGCGCACGTCTGTGTGCGGCCAAGGATGGGGTAGAGTTACGGGGTTGTATATAAGATTGTGTGTGTGTGTGTGCGCGCGCTCGGACGCGCGCATGGACTGGAGGGTGTCCATGACTTTGTGATGGTGTCTCTGTGAGATTGTGGCTCCTCATGTGTCTCAAATTGTACATGGGTAAGCCTGTTTGTGAGGCTGTAAATAATTCTAAGATTCAGTGTGCGTGTACACACACGCGCACGCTTACCTACATGAGATACGATTTCATGATTATGTGACTGAGATCGGTTGGCTGTGTGGCTTCTGTGAGATCCTGGACTGCTGGGTGTAGTCCTTATGAACCTGTGACTTCGTTGGCTGTATAGGTGCCTCTTAAGTGGCCATGTGGAGGGGGTGAAGGAAGGTCTCTGCAAGGTTGTGAATGACCCAGTGTGGAAGCTCCATGGGTGAATGTAATGAAGATTCGTATTCTTTGTGGATCTGTGTGTTTCCTCTCCCCAGGACAAAGCCAACCTCCCAAACTCCAGTCACGGATGCACTAGACGCCAAGGCAAGGAGCACGGGTATCCGAGGGGCCTCCCAGCTGTATGTAAATGTTGCCATCTGCCGGGCGGCGCCCCTCCCCCTTAGAACTGCAGCTGGGCTACCCGTTTGGTCTCTGGAAGGTGTGAGGAGCAAATGGGCAGGAAATTCCATCTTCACATATCAAGGGCCGCTCCCTCACTCCAGGATGAATGGAGGGGGTGGAAGGGAACCCCCGGAGCCCTCCAGAAATCCCTTAGTATCCCAAGACCAGGGCAAGGAAAGTCAGTTAGGAGCAGATGTTCCAGCCCACTCTGTGACAGGTGCTGAACAAAGCCCTTCAGATGGAGTCAACTTTTTTCTCTCCCCTCCCCCCAAATAAAAACTTTAATACTTAAGAGGCTAATGATCATAGGAAAAAATACAGGTTCAATTTATATGCATATTTTTCTTTTAGTGAAGTGTGACAGAGTGAATAAAAGCATAGCCCAGCAGAGCCAGACATACAGTTAAGTGCTTAGCATTTTTAATGAATGAAATTCAACCCAAAGCATTTTCTCTTAATCCTTAATGGATTTTAGGCAAAGGGCCATAGTCAAATTGTGCAGAACATCCCAGGTTCCTCTGCACAGATTTTCCCTCTACTTGTTCTCACCATTCAGACTTCACCTCCTGTGAAAGGCCTTCCCTAAACACTCCAAGGTCGGTCATCTCCTCCAAGTTCCCAGTCCCCTGTGCTTCCTCTATCCTGACCCTGACCACTCTGACCTATGGTGTCTAAGCACACACCTTGTCACTCTCCTGCACAGAATCTCTCATGGCTCCCCAGCGCCTTTAAAATACACGTCAAAGAGTCTAAGGTTGACACTGAGGCCCTCTTTCCCCATCATCCCTACTCAAACCAGGTCTGTGGCCCCAAAGTGTAGTGCCAGACCTCATAGACCAGTGACTGGGCAGCAATTAGGCCCTCTACTGGGGTAGGTGGAGCAAGCTTCCCATCGTGAGCCATTCAAATGGGATTTGGGCAGCCATTAGAACCAGCAGTGAAGGTGGCAAATTCCTGCTCCAGATAACTTGGGAAGGTAACATTTCAGGCCTGGAATTTTGAGGACCATAAAATAGCCAGCCTTTATTGAGGGTCTGTGGCAGGCATAACAGTATTTCACACGAATTCTCTCACATGTGTGTGTGAAGTACTTTAAAGGATTTTCTAAGCTTCTTTTTGGCTTCAGGACTTCCTTATGTGCCTACAGGCCATGCTAAGGTGAACAAAGGAGGGGAGAAGCCATGTGGATGGGGAAAAAACATTCATGGCAAATATCAAACCCGAGGGCCTTGAGGTGGCTGTGCCTGGCACTCAGGTATCCCCACAGCCTCCCTCCTTTCATTTTGGCCTCAGCTCAAACACACCATCCCAAGTCTTTTCCTGTCTGTTCCGTCGCATCTAAAACAGCACAAGTCTCCACACCACTCTGTATCTTTCCATACTTCATTCCTCTTTATGCATTTATTACCAAGAAATACCTGACCACTGTCTAGCTCCTATATGAGATTATCAGCTCCATCAGGGCAGTTTTTAATCTAACTTGTTCACCAACGCACCCTTGTGCTTTAGCCCAAGGCCTGGCAGTTGGTACTTAGGAAATAATGAATGTATGAGGAAGGCATTAACCTCTTACGAGGAAACTGAGAAGCTCAAGACCTTGTCCAGGGCCACAGGGCTTGCAAATGGTGTGTGACATAGGAATTCAGACCCTGTTAGGGTGTGCCTTAACACTGGCCCAATCCTGCCTTATGGATGATACCATGATGCAGCCCTAGAGCATTTTAGGAAAACGTCCTAGACCATGTAACTTAAGCAGTGTCTCAGAAGCTGCTGTGCACAAGTCAAACCCTCTCTTCCTCTTGCCCTCCAGCCTCGAGCAGGTGTGGCCTGGCAGCACCATCCCTGAGCCAGCACCAAGGCTGGAGAGGCCCGGGGAACCCACTGGGCACTGAAGACTGTGCCTCCCACAGTGCCGGAGCCTTAATCCCCAGGGGCCAACGAGCACACACACTTCCTCCTTTCATGCCCTGTGCAGACAGGTCTGAGTCACATTTCAAAAGGCCCCTCAGATTCTGGGGGACTAAGCACATCACCCATGAGGTAGGCAAGCACACACTTGTGGTGGTGGCTCTCCCTGTCCACACTTTCCAGGATCGCATTGCCCAAACACATGAGCCTGCTGGTTAAGATTGTCTCCAATTCTCAAAGAGAATGTGAAAAAAATAAACAAAAAAGAACCACAGGCCCTTCCCTCAATCCCTTGGAGGTCCTCAAGCTAGGGAGTCCTAAGGACATGAAGAAAACTTCCCTGTCACAGGCAGTACACCTTGGAGGGGCCAAACTGTGCATGTTATTTTAATCTGTGAATAACCAGTATGACCTGGTAACAAGACCCATGTGAGTATACATATAGCCTGAATGGGAACGGCCTCATTTACAACACACAACCACTCTACCAAGATAGGTACTATCATCACCTCCATTTCAGAGACGAGGAAACTGAGGTAGAAAGGTGCCTTGCCCGAAGTTCATACAGCTACCATTTGAGTGCCTTCATGGATGCCTCGCTCAGCCCTCACGTTTAGTGTGGGACATGTACTGTTATCTTGTAAATGTGGAAACTGAGGCGGCACTGAGGTGCAGTAACTTGCCTAACGTTACAGTCAGGAAGTGATAGTGCTTGGATTTGAACTCAGTCTGCAACTCATGCTCTTTAATAAGTGCTGTCCAATGCAAGACCCAGGAACTACATGGGGCTATTTAAATTAAAATTAATTAAAACAAAATTTTAAATTCCATTTTTCATTTACCTTAGCCACATTTCAAATACTTAATATTCCCCTGCGGCCACTGCACAGCGCAGATGCAGAGCGGTACAAGTTGGTCCAAGTACTGCAGAAAGTTCCATCGAGAGTGCTGCTGCTATCTGTCTAATTAGGTCACATTTAAAAACTGGAAGACTTAATATAAAAATCCCAATTTTTGACTTGCACAGAAAACCAGAAGATTGCCCCGGCAGGTGTGGCTCAGTGGATTGTGTGCCGGCCTGCGAAGCGATGGGGTCGCTGATTCGATTCCCAGTCAGGGCACGTGCCTGGGCTGCAGACCAGGTCCCCAGCAGGGCACATGTGAGAGGCAACCAGACATTGATGTTTCTCCCCCCCTTTCTCCCTCCCTTCCCCTCTAAAAATAAGTTAAATCTTAAAAAATAAAAAATTTAAAAAAACATTCAGAAGATCAAGCAACTCTATACCCACCTTTCCATGGGGCCAGTTGGCAGAGCTGAGCAGCAGCTGCCCTCTTCAGACAGGCCGATCTCGGTCCACCACAGCCCACTGAGCCCACACTTCACGTATTTACCCAGCAACCTGGCAGCTACCTGCCTTTAAACCCCCAGGGCAGTCCTTTCTTCTCTTTTCCACAGATGGCCACAGGTGGGGAATCTGAGGCCAGAACGGGAGATGGACTTTTTGCAGATCACACAGCACACAGGAAGACACGGCCAGAGCAGGGACCCGGGTTTTCCGATTCCCAGTCCTGGGTTACAAACTGGCTCTGATCCACCAAAGCACCCACTCTGTGCTTAGCAGCTCATCAGCCACTCAAACTTCACCCTGATGCCCCCATCTGGAGACTCTCCGGACACAGGAGTATGGCATCTGTGATGGACTTTATTGGACATGTGGCTGCCCAAGCCGTGGTCTGGGAGCACTGCAACCTGGGGTCTAGGACCCAGGCAACTGAGTTTGAGGCGGCCCAGAGGTCAGGGCTGTTTGGAGCGAGGCCACAAGCGGCTGGTGAGAGAGCTGAAGAAGAGGTTCTGCTTGCTGGACTTGGAGAGCTCGGCCAAGCGCTGCTGCTCTTCCTGGGATTGGGGCACAGATGAAGGAGGGGGAGGGTCAGCCGGGGTAGGCAGGACCTCTCCCCAGATTCCCAGGTCCCCAGCCCTCAGTGCAGGAGCTACCTTCCTTAAACCTCTGCCTAGCCCAGACCCCCTTCCCCAAACCCTCAGAACACCAGTCCAGACACAAAAGGAGCCCAGAACCCCAGAGCCCAGTCCAGACATTGGCTGGAGCCAGCTGAGTCACAGGAGGCCAGACTCCAATTCCAGGACCCTCATGATCCCCTTCCCCAGCTTCTACGGAGCCCCTCTCTCTCCTCAATCCTGGGAACATATTTACCTGAACGTGAATGCTGGTGAGACCCTAAGCCCTTTACCACAGTGCACTGTCCTGCTCCCAGGGCCTCCAGGACCTAGCCTTGGGTCCTGTGACCTCTGTGTGGATGCAGGAGGATCCCAGGCCCAAATCTCCAGGGACTGCTCCTCTGGGCACCCAGAACTCCGGCACTACTCCCAGGAACCCAACCCAGATTCTAGACACCCTCAGCCTAGACCTTTCCCAGACTCTCTGCCCTACTTCCAAGTCACCAGATCACATTAAGCCACCAGATCTCCTTTCACAGACCTTTGGGACAAGTGTCCATGGATCCCTCTTCTAAGGCTTGATCCAACCCACAGTCCACGATAAACCGAGGCCCCCAGACCAGCTCGAGACCATAAAGAACCACCTCTCCTCCAGACCTATCGCAAATGATTGGTGTTTCCTGCCTTCTTTTCTCAGAGCAGGTGCAGAATCAATCTGCCTGTCATTATAAGACCGGTTTGGGACAGGTGGCACAGGAAAGAAGGTATTTGCTCAAGGTCACATAGCCCAAAGCCGAGCCAGGTTGCTCCCGGGCTCTGCCTTCAGGAGCCTGGGAAAGTGTTGTGATATCCCCTACTACCAGGGCTGGGGATGTGAGTACCCACCTGCTCTAGCCGGCTTTGCCGCTGTTTGAAAGCCTCCAGTGGGTCATCCTCTAGGGCGTAGTGCTCCAGCACAGTCCGTACATCCTCCACACCGTTCAATGCAATGGCTGTGGGGACAGCAGGTGGGGGTCAGCCAGGCTGAGGGCCAGAGGCAGGCAGGGCCCCATAAGGGTAAATAAAGGTCAGATCCCACAGGGTCGGTGCTACCTGGAATGCTTAACACTTTAAAGGGCTCCCCTGAACATTCCTGAGGTGCACCCCAAACATTCTAAGAAGCTTCTAAAGACTGCAAGATGCTCATGGACCTCCCACATCTCAAGTATCCAGTTTTACATGAAAAACAAGCCAGGATCAAATGGCTATCATTTCCCTTGAGCATCAAAGACCCTGGGGTCAGAGGCCAGGTCAGGGGTCAGCCTCACTCTTGAGGAAGGCAGACAGGTCCAACAAGACCCGGTCATCGGAGTTGCCATCCCAGGGCCGCAGGGCAACACCATTGTAGGGCTGGAGGCGAAAGGCTTCCTTCTTGCAGTCCACCACGACTACACGGGCTGGATCCCGATTTAGACAGGAAATATCCTAGAAGTGGGTGATACGTCAGGTCAAGGCCTAAGTTCCTTCCCTTTCCACCAGGAACCCACAGAGGAAGACACACACACAGACACACACACACACACACTCTCACACATACACAGCACTGCCATCTGTGACCACCATGATTGAGCCTCCCAAAGACCAGGGTGGAATGATGGTATCAAATCCCCCAGGGACCTAGTCACACAGATTCCCAGACACAGGTCTGGCACAAAGACAGGTAGATTTGGAGTTTCCCTATGAAGGAAGGGAGCCAGGCACTTGTGTGTTCAACCACTGCCCATAGTGACTGACATATCAATCTGTGAACCTCTCAACCAAATAAAGAGATGCAGACAGATCTGGAGCCACACAGTCACTCAAAGACAGGTACCCAGAGGCAGACCATTCAAAATCCTCAATCACAGCCCATGTCCTTCTGAACCTTGAATGACTATGTAGACCCACCAACACACAGTGAGAAAACCAGCAGACACCCACACACATGGGAGCTTAAACCCAGAACCACAGAGACCCATCCACAGATCCATATATTCCTGGACCCATGGATATATTGCTGCTAACAGCAACAGACCCCAGGTCAAACAAACCCCAACACAGTCTCAGATAAGATACTATAATTACACAGCCCCAGACACAGAGAATCAAAAACAGCTTCTAAACTTCATGTTCTTACCCCTCCACCTCTTTGGGGAGACCCAATTCTCCACCCCCCTCCCTGCTCCCACTGCCAGATTCTGGGGAAGGGGGAAGGGCGTAGAAACCCAGCCCAAGTTGGGGGCAGGCTGGTGTTCTGACAGATCAGACCCCAGGGAAGAACCAGAAGGACGGCTGACACTCAGGTCAGAGCTGGGCTCTCTCCCGCAGAAGTGTCAACCCTCAACCAATCCCAGAGATCCACCCACAGCCCCCACGGGGCACCTTAACATGGTGCCCATCCATGTATCGTGTGGCGTCTCGGAAGAGGCGGTAGGAGATGAAGCCATGAGGGTCCACGCTGTCGATGAGTGGAAAGGCAGTCTAGGGTACAATAGGAGGACAAGGTCAGGCTGGGCGCCCTGGCCTTTCAGCTTTCTCTTACCTCCCCCACGTCAACCATCCCTCCACTGCACCAGGGCCTCACCATGCCAGTCTCTGATGTAAAGATGACGATTTCATACAAAGGGGCAAGCTGCTGGAATAAGGTCTCGATGCCTGGACGCTTCTTAAACCTCCAGCCAGTGGCCAGCTGGGGAGGCAGTGAGAACAGTGAACACTGAGACCCAGAGGCCCCCAGAGCCCCCAAGAGAACAAAGATCCAGCCTGAGGGTCTCCCAGAACCAGAATGTTCTCCTCCTGTCTCTATGGCTCTTGGGGTTTCAAAAGTACATAGCTGTGAGTGAGTGTCTTGGAGTCTGGGTCCCAGAATAACCGCTGGCTCTTGTGTGGCACCTACTGTGTGCTGAGGCACACTTACAACTACCTAAGGGGTGGGGAGCACCACAGTTGAGGAAAACGAGGCAATGAGAGTGACACCTCCTCCCCAAGACCACAGAGCAGAGCTTGGGCTAAACGCCAGCCTGACTGCAGAGTCTACACTCCTAGCCACATCACCATGATCCGGCCACCCGGGTCGATCCAGTGTCCCCAACCCGCTGCCTTCCCCAGGACACACCGACCACTCAGGGTGCAAGAGGACACCAGTGAGCTCCAAGACCAGTGTGTAGGGCGGCTGGTAGTACGGCTCTCGTAGAGGGTCTGGGAGAAGGCAGGGGCTGGTGGGCTCGATGATCATCTGTGTACAGGGGCAGAACAGGGGCACTCAGACAAAGAGGCAGGGGGCTGGGGCTGGAGGGGTAGGGACTGGGCGCTGGGCACCTACTCACCTGTCTATAATCTTTGAAATATTTGTATGTCCGGCGCAACTGTTGTACCAGAATTGGATCTAGGAGAACACCAGGGCACAACGGGATTCTACGATAAATCACTGATCTACCTCTGGAAAAACCAGCACTTTACTTATCTAGCAGATAAACACAGGTATATATATCCACCTGGTTTGAACCAGCACATTTCTAAGTCCAAAAGTAGAAGGTAATGACATACCCCCCAGACAGGAACAAATGTATTTATTCACCTGCCCAGTTTTAAATACCTCTCCCCACACACCACTCCAGATATAAAATAGAATGTTTATGCATCTGCCCACTTAAAACCCACTGTAACTTTGCTGACATGATGATACTATATTTAGTCCATTTGGAACTATTAGGTTTCCAGATCTGCCTGCTTTAAGCCAATATGCTGAGTCTAGTTAAAAACATTAAGAATAGCCCTGGCTGGTATGGCTCAGTGGATTGAGCACTGGCCAAGAAACTGAAAGGTTGTGGGTTCTATTCCCTGACAGGGCATATGCCTGGGGTGCGAGACAGGTCCCCATTTGGGGGTAAAGAAGAGACAACCAATCGATGTTTCCCTCACACATCGATGTTTCCCTTCTCTTTCTCCCTCCCTTCTTCTGTGAAAACAAATAAATAAAATCTTTTTAAAAAATATTGACAATATACAGACACCTGTGTACTTTAAACGAGTGGTTCTCAATTAGGAACAATTTTGTCTCCCCATTTTTCCAGGAAATTTGGCAATGTCTGGAAACATTTTTGATTGTCAGGATACTGGCATCTAGTGGGGCTGAGGCCCAGGATGCTGCTAAACATCCCACAATGCACAGGACACTTCCTCACAACAAAGAACTCACTAGCCCCAGGATCAACAGGGCCAAGACTGAAAAACCCTGGTTTAAATGAATTTACTGAATCCAGTTTAAAGCAGAATACTTACATAATTACCTACTTCAATACAGTATTTTCTAGTTTTAGAAACCAAAACACTGAAACCAGTTAAAAAAGTAAACACATTTTAAACTGGCTTGTTTACCTAACTGGTTTAAATCGGTATACTGATTTGTTCAAACCAGTATGATTCAGCTTCTGCCCAGTTAAAACCAGGTATTTACCCACCTGCCCAGTTTACAACAATCAATGAATCAACATGCCAGTACACAAGTGCCCCTAGCACAAACAGGTGGCTTTCTGGACCTTCCAATTTTATTTTTCTCCTGGGAAAGGCCAGGTGTGACAAAAATGACAACTACTCTCTACTATGCAATTGTCAGAAATTCCCTACCAAAAGCTGGGTAACTAAAAGGGGGAGCGAGGAAGGAGGCATTGTTTTGGAAATGAGAAGTTGGATGGGATGGGGGATTGAGGGCAGGGGCGCAGCAGTCACAAAGAGGAAGGGGTTAGGGGCGGCATATGCTCAGGTCTAAGGCACAGAACCATGTGTGTGGCACAGACAGCGCCTTCTCCCCAAGCACTTCCATACCAGACTCCCCACCCCCATCTGTCCCTGACCATCTGCTCTAGGGCTGAGGGGCCAGGAAAGGGGACTGGGGCTTTGTAGTGGCCCCCCCTCAAAGCCATCCAGCCACTGACTCCCCTACCCCCCAGGAGGAGGGGCCAGGGCCACCAGATGGGCAGGGCAACATCCCTACAAATAGCCAAGCAAAGCCAGGAGGGTCAGGGACCCTAGAATTTGTGCTTGTTTACTCACCATTGTCGAATTCGTCAGGAATCTATGAGGTGGAGAGAAAAATGGAGAGTTTGGCATGGCAGAGGCAAAACCCCATCACACCCAGAAAATAATTCTCCAGGACCCTGGAAGGAGGAGGCAAAGATGCCTGGGAGGGTGAGACTCACCCCAGACCAGAAATGAGCCTGAACAGACCAAAGGGGAGGGCACCCACAGGATGGGACCCCTGGCAAGGCCTCTGTGTCTCTTTCCCCCTCACCTTGGCACCAGTTTCATCCACAGAGTTGTTTCCTGCAAGAAAGACAGAGGTTGATGAGAAGAACTGCGACCCAGTCTGAAGGGAGGAAGAAAGCAGGGGGCCTGGACTCCTGGGTGTTAAGGGAAGAGGGCTTAAAGCATGGTCTCCTAAGATTGAGAGAGGAGGGAGTTGGTAGCCAGGATCCCTAGGTCTCTGAGAAAATAGGGGATGGGGCCAGGTCTCCTGGGTCTCTGAGGGAAAAAGGGACTCGGGGAAGACTCGAGTTTTGGGTTCAGAGGAAAGAGGAAGTTTAGGAGGCTGGTCCAGGCCTATCCTTCCCCTTTTCCCTCTTCCAGGTGATTCTCTATAGCCCAGTGCAGGAACCAACTAGAAACAGTGAAACCTTGAGCAGAGAGAATAGAAGCGGGGAGGGGGAGGAGAGGGAGGAGGGGGAGGAGGAGGAGACTTCCCCCTTTCCAAAGTAGATGTTCTAGTTGGCCGCTCTCCTGTGGGAGGAGCCAGGGAATGATGCTGGGAGAAGCCCTTAGGGTAAAGAGGGAAACATTCTTAGGTAAAATAAAAGAGGTAACAGAACAAAACTGCAGCACAAGGATGTGTTCCTCACCGAAGATATAGACGACACTCACGGTCCCTCCGGCCCCAAGCAACCCGGCAAGCCAGAGTGCGACTTTTTTGGCGTAGCTGGGACCTTCTGTGCCCCGCTGCTGCTGTGACCCTTGTGCTTGGGCCTTAGTGCTCGGGTGGCTCCCAATCTCCTTGGCCTACAGTTGAGAAGGGGTAGGTTAGCCAAGTGAGGAGAGAGAAGGTCAGGATGGCCTGGGCACCCTGGTAGGATTAGAATCAATGTTGGGCCAGAAAGCAGACACCCACACAGGCTCTGGGGTTGTGTCCCTGGAGGGGCAGCCAGCCAGAAGATTGATTGGGTCTCTCAGAAGGGTCAAGAAATACTGTCCGGCTCCAGGATCCCAAGGATTCAAAAGTTGGTAGGCCAGGCGCCCAGGATCCTGGAGGCAAAGGACTGGAGAACCTGGAGCCCAGAAAAGCGGGGCACGGAGATGAGATCAGGAAGCCTGGCCACACATTGGGATGCCAGGAGCAAGGCAATGGAGGACACACGAGGGGATAGAACGGGGAGTTAACGTATCCGGTTGTCTGGGGCTCAGGGTAGAGAGGGGACGGGACTCGAGGTGGGGCAGGGGAGCAATCGTTTGTCTGGGGCTTAGGGAAGCAGGACACGAAAATGATGGACCTGGAGGTCAGAAAGCCTAGTTCTCAGGCAACATGGAGACAGGTCAAATCAAAAATCTGAATGTCTATTTCACCACCACCACCGCAGGGAAACTACCCCCAAGGCAAGGCTGGGACCCCAGCGTCCCGAGTCCCTTCCCGACAAGTTATTACCTGAGTGGTCACTGAGATGAGGAACAGGTGACCCCTTCCCCGGGCACCCACGTGGTGTCCAAAGGAGGTGGAGTCCAGAGGGCGTACTTGAGCCCCCAGCATCTAGCCCGGGGGTGCAAGTGCTGGTCACCCCGAGAGGCTGGGAAGGGCCCCGAAACGCGGACGGCGTTCCATTCAGCACCCTGAAGCGCTACGTGCCAGAACCCTGGGGCGGCAGAGATCTGCCGGGAACTCCAGGAAGGGGCCTCCGCACCCGGAGCCCACCACCCTCCGGCTTACCTGGTCCGAGGCCCGGGGGGGCGGCGTCACCAACCTCGCGCACAACCCCCGCGCGCCGAGACGGAGCCCGCTCCGCAACCGCAGACCCAGCGCCGCCGAGGCCGCCATCTTGTGCTGACGCCACGCAGCCCCGCCCATTCACCCCCCGTTTCGCGCGTCGGACCCTAGGCTTCGACCAATGGAAGTGCAGGGGCGGGGCAGGCAGACGGCAGCCCGAAAGAGACAAAGGACCTCGGACAAACAGCCGCAGGCGTGCGCGCCTAAGGCGGCCTTCCCGCGGATCCTCGCGAGCCTACGGAGATGGAGTGTCAGCCTGCGCCACGCCCCGCTCGGCCCTAGCGCACGCCAACGCCCCGGCTACTAGACCGCGCTAACACCCGTTGCTCATAGGTAAAGCTGAAGCCATAATGAAGAAGTCCTAGGGCTTCCAGCCATCACAGACTCGCTTCCTCAACGTGGAGCCGGGAGGGCCATCTGTCTCCTCTTAGAGACCTTTCTTCCCCTTCCTCCGATGAGCGTCTTCTTAAAGGTCTGAAAGGCCGGCCAAAGATCAGCGGCTGTGTCGGGCCGGGTCGGGAGTGTTGGAAATCAATCAGAGGCCACAGGTGGCCACGGTGGCTCTCCTTCAGATCATTTTCAGCGGGGCGGGGGGAAGGCTGATAGTGTTTATGGAAACTTTAAAAACATGTAAAACGACCATGTAACATTTAGGGATAAATACTGATACAAAGTATTAAAGCACAAAGTTGGTCAAAAGACAAATGGAATTAAGGGTTGTGGATTCCTTTGGCAGGGAATGGACTAGGGGTGCCGCTAAAGTGGGTTCTATCTTGTACATATTATCTCCTAAACTTGGTGGTGGGGACGTGGGTGTTCCTGGTTATATTTTTGAACATCTGAAATATTTTATTTTCTAACATTTGTAAAAAAAAACCAAAAAACAAAACCCGTGAATACGAAATGAGGACGGTGAAGGAAGGTCAAGGAACTGAGCTCTATTCTCTGCTCTGTACCCTATCCCCAATCCCCAAGCCAGCGTCACTGCTCTGCGGGCTCAAGAAAAATACCTGTCAAATGCTGTTTACCACACCGCAAGAGGAACTTGGGTTTCCTGGGGGGTACTGATTTTCACCCAATTCAAGAATGAATTAAGATGTAACTTCATCAATCGCATGGCAGGCCCCGTTCTAGTAACTTCTTCCCATGTCTTCTCAGACATTCCTCTCAAGGGCCCTCTGGTGCAGGCAGTATCATTTTCTACATGGGGAAACTGAAGCTTAGGTAGGACCTAGTCTTTTGCCCAAGAAAATGGAGTCTACAAAGTACCCCACTTACAAACCAGACCACACATACACACAAGACTTTTTTTTATAGCTTTTTATTGAAAGACTGTAACATAAAAGCAAGCTGGGGAAGAGGGAAATACAAGAACATGGGGGCCCTCCCCCAGACTCTACTCCGATTCCCATGAACATCAGGGAGGAAGATAGGAACCCAGAAAGGAAAACAAAGGAGATCCTAACCAACCAGGCCAGGGCCTGCTTCCATGCCCCGATCCTCCGATCCTCCGATCCTCCCCGATCCTCCGTCAGAGCCGAGGGACACCCTCCATCTGCCAGGTGTCTGCCGAAGTCCACCTGCCCAGCCTGCCTCAGGCCTCCTGGAGCTTCCCCAGGAAGCGGAGGTTGAGGATCTTGAGCTGTTCATCAAGGTCCATGCGGACGATGCCGTCCTCACCATCGATGCTCAGTAGGACACCTGTGGCTTCCCGATCCTCGCCCAGGATCACCTTCACCTGGAGAGGAGGGCATGGAGTCAGGATCCATGTCAGCAGTCCAGTGTCCCCACAGCCCCTTGCCCCTCCTTACCTTGTTGTTCTTGGTGGGGGTGATGGGCTCCAGGTGCTCACTGGAGATGCTGACAACCTTCTCACTGTCTTTCAGGTACACAGAGCACATGCCTCCCTGAGGGTGGGGAGAGCCTGGTCAGCCTGGCCTGCTTCCAACAGAGGACTGATAGTCACACTTGTGACAGAGGCTCAGGGTTCATTCTAAGAAGTCACTTTCCCAAGGTGACACTGGGCAGGAAGGGCCAAGGCTGGGCCAGATTCCAAGGCTGAAGTCTGTGGTGTGTGGAGGTGGGGTGACCAGATCAGCAAAGCAAGCACCAAAGTGAAGCTTGGCCAACCAGGAAGACTGCTTCTCAGGCACTTAACTCTTCAAGTCCCGAACTGGCTTCAGCTTCTCCCCTACACTTGTTCCTTCCCCCGTCCCCAGTCAGCACTCTGCACCTTGTCTTGGTCATCTCCTTCACTGACCATCTCCAGCTGAGGCTTGTCCATACAGCCTCCTGAGGATCTCTCCCATATCCCGCCCCCCTTCCCTCTCTATTCCTCAGGCCCTGTAATGCAGCCTGAGCTCCCCCAGGTTTCCAGCCCCCAGTATCACCACCCCTAACCCTTCCCTGATAAAGCAACACAGTGAAATTAATTCCAAACCACCTATCTGATGCCTGCTTAGATTCTTCCATGACCTCCCAGTGTCCTCAGGACAGAGTCCACATTCCCCAGCTGACACATGACCTGGCCCCAGCCACTTCTCTGGCCTCATCATGTCCCACCTCGGTTCTTTATGTTCCAGCCGCAATTAACATATTTCAATGCCCCCAGGTACACCAGGCTTTCCCTCACCTCTAGGCCTCTCTGTCTGAAACACGCTTAACCTACTTCTCTGGGCTTACTCCTATTCATTCTTCAGGACGCAGTGCAGATGTCTCCTCCAGGAAGCCCTCCCTGATTCCTTCAAAAACTGGTAAGATGCCTTCACTGGGTTTGCATAGCTCCCCTTATCCCCTGGGGCTTCCTGTATCCCAGGTCTGGCCACTCCAGCAGCCAGTGTCGGGGGCCTGTGTCAGGATATGTCCCGTTGGAAAGAGAACCTGAGGGCAGGGCCAGGAGCTGTCTGACGCTTCTTTAATTAATTCAATTAATATTTACTGGAGGGCCAACAAGGCACCAGTTCCTCATCTAGCAACTGGGACTACTTAGGAATAAAACAAAGGATTAGTAATCAAATAATCACTACAGCAAACTTTAAGCTTTTAGGCAAAAGTAGGTAACATGAAAAAGAATTACACAGGCCCATAAAAAACATCTGAAATAGCCTAGGTGCTTCCCTGAGGTTGAATAGAAGTTAACTAGACAAAGAATGGAAGGAAGAGAGTTCTGTATAGGGGAAAGTCATGAGCAAAGGCTCTAAGGCTAGAGGGAACTCAGGGACTGCCAGCAGTGCTGGAGCAGGGAGAGCCCAGGGTCTGTGGGTACCCAGCACTAAGCTGAAGCCTAGCACAATGGAGCATTCAGTCCATGTTACTGAACTGATCTCAGAGGAGTATGTCATGAGGTTAACACACTTATGGGTGCCAATCACTGTTCCAGGCAGCTCGGACCCCTGTCATGAGCACAACAGGCAGAAATCCCAGCCTTGTGGAGCCTGTATGCCACACCTTTCCACATCTTTTTTTCCAGCTATGAATGGGTACTGAAAGACGTAGTTAGGCAATTAAAAAGAAAAACAAATAAATAACCACAGAGACTGGGAACCCCAAAGGAGAGGATGCCTGCCCATCGACCACCCTGGGCCCCACTTACCGTGACACTGCGGATGACACCTGTCTGCCCCACCACTTGCGTATCCAGGTAGGTGTCCCGCACCTTCACCTGGATGTCAGTGGTTACCCAGTCGCTAGAATTCTGCTCAATGCCTGAGCCCGGTGTGTGCGGGTTGTAGCCACCAGGGGAGGGGGCTCCAGGTGTCATTGGACTGTAACCAACGGGGCTTGGGCTTGGGCTAGCCTGTAAGGGAGTTGGGAGCAGTGTTGGGAATAGGTCACATGACCTGGCTAGCCTTAATGGCTGGAGGCCCACCCTAGCCCACCACCTCAAGGGCATGCCAGCTGACCAGCACCTGATAGGCCATGGGCGAGGGCGTGGGGTGGTAGCTTGCAGGAGAGTGGGTGTTTTGGTAGCCGGCTGGGCTTGGTGCCACCTGGTGGTAGCTCTGGGGGCTGGGGCTGGGCTGGTAGGAGCCTTGTGGAGAGGGAGCAGCATATGGGGAAAACTGGTCTGTGTTGTACCTGCAGAAACAAGGAGAGAAGGGAGCATTTATTGGGGCTGGAGAAGAGATGGAGGCAGAGGGGAGAACTTGGGCAGGGGTTAATTAAGGCTAGCCCGAGTGGACTCACATGGCTGGTGTCCCTGGTGTCTGCGGGTTGTACTGTGGGTTAACCTGAGGGGATGAGGGGTCTGGGTAGCCAGGTGTTTGGGGATTGGGAG